ATTTTTTTTTGCTATAGATTAGGGTTTATCAAAGAGAATATTTCAGTATTTTTTCAGTATCATAAAATCATTCAAAAATCAATGAATAGAACGTAAAATAGTATATTTTAATATATTTTTTTTTTATATTTTGTGCAAAAATTCTACCAGAAATCTTGGCACCATTTCTGAAAGAAAATATTATCTAGAAAGTACTTTAAAGAAAATATTTTTTTTTTTGTTTTGATTTTCCAAGTGGTTTTCATAATAATTTGGAAAAACCGGAATGAAATGTCAGAAAAACGGGAAAATGTGTGCAAATAGTGTTTTTATTATTTTATTAAAAATATTCCAAGTGATTTGAATTTAGGACAAAAACCTTATATTTACCTATTATAGACGCAGTAAAGCTGTAAAAAACATTTGAGCTATATTTTAGCTCATTTTAATTTTGCAAGTATTTTTTTTTGGTATGTACTCTGTGGATAAAATTGTTAGACTAAACAGAACAGGTTGTTAATTATAAGTCGTACTTTGTGGTTAAAACAAAAAGAAATTGAATTTGATTTTTTTTTCATCTGAGAGTCACTCATCGTGCGAAGTATGCCTCTCTTTTTTATTACTGAGGTACAATATTTTTGTGACTAAAGGTTGTTTTGGAATGCATTCTAAATTGTTATAAATGTGAATACTTATTATAGGGATTATGTAGGATATATATATTGGTTTTATACTTATTATAGGCAATAATTAATCACAGTTTTTGGTTTAACTGAAGCCTAAGCTTAAGTATACATTGAAATACCGTGCTTATGTATATTAGAGGTTATCCTGTAATTAATTATTCAAAAAACTAAATAAATATCACACTACCTCTTTTAACCGCTACTACTCAAATGTGAGAGGTTTGAATACAATATGTAATTTATTAAAAACAAATATTTATTTCTTTAATTTGTTTGCTCTCGTGTTCACTGAAACTTGGCTTCATATTAATGCAAATTCTTTAGAGCTCGGTCTTTTTGATTATTCGGTATATCGATATAACAGATTTATTCTATCTAGCCCACCATCCAGAGGTGGATTTCTAAAAATTCTACTTCTTCTCTTTGTATTGATTATCTCTTTATATTGATTACTTTTATATTCTTGATAACCTAAATTTAAGTCATCCTAACGCCAAATTTTTAAATTTTAGTGATTTTAACCTTAAAAATTTAAATAAAGCCACTTTAATTCTTGTCTTACATACATCCTCAATTGAAAATATCTTTCTTGAACATTTAGCACTTCTCAATTTATTTCAATTAAATAAAATTACTAATAACAGAGATTCGATTGTATATTATTTAACTCTTCCTTTCTTATTGTTTCGTTGAATACTGATTCTATTATCCCTATTGATAGTTACCATCACCTTTTATCATCTACCCCCTGATTTATTCTACCTCAAACTTTCATATGTCTGAATTAATGGTAATTAAGATATAATTATATCATTATTGGGTTCAATTAATTGGTCCGAATTTTCCAAAATAAGTAGTTATATGTCTTATATATATATGTCCTCGTCGACGAATTTTGTTCCCTGTTATTTTTTGACATCAACTCTTTCAATCCCAAAAAAAAAAAAATATTTCAACCCTAAATACCCAATTTGGTTCTTTAATGAACAAAACAATTTAACTTTACAAAAAAAATTCTATAAATATTTCAAAATATCCAATTCACCAAGTGACTATTTTCAATTTGCATCTTTTCGTTCTCATTGTAAAATTCAAAGTAAATTAGATTATAAGCAATATCTACGTAATGCTCAACATTCTTTGAGTTCTGAGCCTAAACAATTTTGGAGAAATCTTAGATCTAAAAGATCTAATAGATAAAATCGAAAAATGACCTTTGTAAAGTACCTCCCCAGTAAAATTTCCTTTCAGAAATATTTCTTTTATTAAACGTTGGAGCAAAATTGCTGATAGTGCACAGATAAAAAAAAAAATAAACATCTTTGTAAAACCATATGCTCTTCGCTCCACTCAGAATCTAAAAAAGAGGGGCGTGTGATTACACGGTTGGCACCACGGCCATACAAATATTCTACATGAACCTGCTAAAACTACGTAGTAATACCTTTATACAATAGGTACCTATAGTTTCACAACCGCAATATCGCCAACAACAATAACAATAATTCAACACAAACAAAAAAAAAAAAATTATCTAGCACGGCGGTACAGGTCGACGCGCGACACCGCGGGACGGTTGCTCGCCGGTCTTCACCCTCTCCGTGAATCGGCAATTGGATTGGCGGCACCCGCACCGGCAACGCACAACCACGACGAGATCGTCACAACGACGGCGGTGGACCGTTAACGTAGCCGATAGTTTTTGGCGACGCTCCGATCGGTTACGCAACTGGTCGACGACGAAAACGCAACAACAACAAAAGAAAACCGCACAAATTAAGCCCATCTTCGGTCTTGGACACGGCGAACCCACGAAGCTCGTATATCGGGGCACATACACGATTGGACGGTGGTAATTCGGCGAACCGGTACGAGGACTAAAACATCCAAAGCCCACTACGCCTAGTCTTAAGCCGCCACACACGGACCGGGAGAACACACGACGACTTGAACTTCGGCATTGAGTCATGTATTAATAACGAGACGACGGCGGCCAAGGCGACACCGTTATCAGACAAACTGAAGGACGGTAGGTGGTTCGCAATCGGCTTCGGACGACGTACCCGGCTGGTCCGTTAATCAGGTGCACCCAATTAAACGTGCGCGAACAGTATGAAACTTATAAAATGTTATGTATTATTGTAATTGCAATTGTAAGTATATGTACCCGCTACTCATATCACTGTTGTAATTTTATTGTAATTGGAAATTTGCTCGTCATACATAATAAATAAATAAATAAATAATATATATTTCCAGCCCTAAAGATAGCACTGATAATCGAGCACTGTGCAACCGTTACGAAATGTTGAAAACGAGAGTGTGTCATTTGCGCATTATCGGAATAATAATTTCCTTATTTTATGGTTTTAATACCTACGTACCTAAACGTTTCTTTGTGCGCGTTGATATGCATAAACGAGATGACCGCTGAATGAAACGATATTCCTAAACCTCCATACAGTATGACGTGCATTACCGGAGCAAAGGTTCGGTTTAATGTGGTTCGGCATACTTAAATTGAAAATATTATAAATCGAGAAAAGGAAATTATAAATTACAATATTATTAGATCGTGAATTTTTTCAAGTTTTTAACATTTTCATCGATTTGAGAAAAATGTCTCTTTCCAAAGATCGCACAGTGGTACATTGCAACATGGAATGAAGGTTAATATTGTAATATTGGTAATATTGGTTTGGCTGAAATATGTTGAGTTATCGTTCGAATGAAATACGCTAACCGGGGCTAGTCATAGACATAATAATTATTGTATAAATTATTACGTATAGGCGTTTAAAGCGTAAGAAGTTTAAATTTGTATAGGTTTTACTCGGCGGAGGAGAGAGGATGAGTTACCGATTTAACATTCCACAGAAATCCCTTTACACGAAGAAAGCGTTCAATAGTGGTGTAGTGTACGGTCATTGATAATATAGGGCCACATCGGGAAACCGCGGAACGACCGATTCGATATACTTAACTGAACACGACATGCGTAACGTTGACGAACAGTTAAACGGTATCGTTTCGTTATCATTATTGAGTCATATCATACCGTATCGTCGTCCGTCTATCACACTGTACATAAATTATACAGAGTGTGCGCGTCCTTAGCTTTTATTTGTTACTTGCTAAAATTAACAACTAATTTTACGTTATAGTAATTTCGACGGCAGGGTTTTTATTTTTTCTAATAAAATACATGTTGCGATTTACGAGAGTTGAGACAATATCTGATATCGATACAAATTTCAACATAGATATAATAAAATTCAAAAATTGAAAAAATACTGAAATATTATCTTTAATAAAACCTATAGCAAAAAAAAATAATGTTTTGCATTCGTATTGACTTGTATTAATTTTACATTAAATTTCACGAAGGTATTACACCGGTAAACATAAAAATAAATTGTAACACAAAATATTATTTAATGAAACCGAAATGTAGGTATTTTTCTTAAGGATTCATTAATGACAAATTGTTTCAATTATCTCGTATTTCTCATTAAATTTAAACAAGACGTATGAAAAAAATTAAATACAACATTATGTTATGCATATTAGCAAAAAATATTATCGAAACCTAAAGCTTACCTAGCACTGAGAATATAAAATGCCTCTAATATGTGAAAAACAGCGATATAAAATTGCATATTTGGAGTCCGTGGTGCATATATTTTCTTTAATAATAATTGTTTAATATCGTATCGATTATCCCTTTTTTCCTGCGTTATTCCCGGTTTTTTCTCAGCTTTTAAAATTTGCTGGGAAAACTTCATTTTTTCTAGATTATTGATATTACTATGTAAATTAATTGTGTCCCGGTTTATACCTATATAACGATTTAAAGTTCTGAATAATTTTTGGGGTGAATGGGATCGGTTAACTGATTCCCAACCATCCCTAATTACATATGCAGATATTTCTTTTATCTATCTTATTTTATTATAAATTATAAATGCATAAAATTTAATTTAATACAGTAAAGCCCTTTTAAGAAGAGTACAAAATATTGTTATGATGAGATAGTTATTTTTAAGTGATACGCTATAACACTATTTAGTTTTTGTTCAAAAATACTCGTATCTACTGATAAAAAAGTTTGCGCTTGCCTACTTTCCCAAATGAATTGTCCTATCTAAAAAGAACTCACCCCGCAAAAACAAATCGCGTAATGATCGTTGGAAATTTCATGTTCTCTATCTGAAAAATATGCCTTTGTATAATTTGCGTAATCAGACAAATGATTTTGTAACACTCTGCAGTATGTACTGAAATATTTCCCCTGTCTGTATTTGATTACTTATTATGCGAACACCCTTGTTCCGCTCACCTGGGTATGGTGGATAGACTGAGTGATGACCGACTAGACAGCGGTTCGTACAGGCCGGTGGCATTGAGCCACACGGCCACGTCGCCGTCGTCATTGAGTGAATTGCTAGATGACCGGCACTCGTAGGGTTGCCACAGCAACGATGATATGGCCCGTTCGTAATTGCTCGTGAATGTCCTGCTCCTGGTCAGGCTCGACGAGCCGCCGCCGATTCCGTTGATGCCACCACACGTCCAAGTCCGCGGCCTGCGCCTTTGTTGTTGTTGTTGTTGTGGTGGACCACCAATAAACTCCGTGGTGTTGGGCGGCTGACAACACGTACATGACCCTTCGTGTGGGTCCAAGACGCCGCTGCCACCGTTTAACGTTATCGTGTACACCGTGTCCGCCGGCCGCTTTCTCGTCTTGTAATTGACGACCGCGTCCCGGCCGCTGTCTCGAGGTTCCCCACAGCCGTTCATGCTGCTATTTCCCGTCTTTGATATCTGCGCAAACGAAATTCGATCGTGTTAATATATCCGTTCAATTAGTATTACAAAATGGATCAAGAAAAAGAGGTAATTAGGATTATTAAATCTATATGCGGGAAACAATGATAAATCTTCAATCGAAAAACAATTTTGGGTGGAGTAATAAAACTCCAATTTTTCATCATTCAATTTACGAGTGTAAATTGAATGTCTTTATACATTTTATTAATGTAGTTTACTAAATTTTCTGTTTGTCTATTTGAACCACTAAATAAAATGTACGTGTCATCAACATATTTATAACATATTTATAATATGCTTTATGTATGGACTGTAAAAATGTTGTTTATAACATTATTGGTTTCACATTATACACACAGAGGAGTTAAAAAATTTATCATTTCTATCTGAAATGTGTACGTGTGCGTATTTAACTGTAAAAAAAAAAATTACTATTTTTAATAATCGATCATCATCTTGTTTCTTTTGATTTTAACTATACTCGATTTGCAATTGTACAAATAATGACGTGTACAGAGTTGTATTGAGTATACAAAATAAGTATAATCTGATATTCCCGAAATAATTCGTCCTTTTTTGTTTCAATATATTGGTTATTTTCATTTTGATTACAGCAAATTTTCTGTAGGCTGATTAATAATTTTCAGTTAATAAACCGATTAACTTTTAACTTGTTAACTCGTTAACTTTACTTGCATTTTACTTTACTTAATTGCATTTTGTCATGTTTCTTTTAAGCCGATTTTCGACAGACTTATATAAAAATCAAACAAATATCGCGATTCAAGTCAAATAAGTTAAAAATGTCACTGTTTGTTTTTCCTATTACTCGATAGTATACGTAATATAAATAATTAAAGGTGCGCGTTTTTAATTTTGTTTATTTTTTTTAATAGTTTTAATTATGTTTTTATTATTATTATTTTTTATTTTTTTGTGAGATAATTCACGAGTATAACACTACAGCTAATATCGTTTAAACATTTAAACGTTTATTAAAAGTTTTATATAAATATATATTATATACCTACATATTATTTGTCCATATCGCCCGTAAAAGTTATAACTGTTATAATAAACATTATGTATAGGCGCCTATAGCCTGTATACTAAACTTTTATGGCCTAAAACGAAAGAAAAACATTTGACCTATTCGTCGGCTATTTAATAGATCTGCATAAGGAAAAAGTACGGTAGGAAATTTACGATAATATTTTATGTAAGGGTAATTTGAGATGAATATTTTCTTTTTCTATTTTTTCTTTTCTGTATACCTAGGTGTATATGTACACTAGGATACATGAAGGTCAAAACCTTAGTGGTATAAATATTGACGGGAGACGCGAACGGTCGTATAAATAAAAGCTAAAAGCTAAAAGCATATAGAGTGGGGCGTGGGGTTAAACGATAATATAAGGAACAAATTTATTATCGTTTCTACAAAAAATTCAGCGATGTTTAATCAAAACGATAATTTAAAAATGTTTAATTTTTGCACATTGTTCCGAAATTTAGTGTTACAAACTAAATGTCAATCCAACGATTTTACCGATTTTTCTGATTGATCATTCTATTCCAATTGTTATTTTTCTCATTTTTCAATATTATTTAAATTTATATGCCCGTGATAAGGTGCTAATCATATCCGATGACATTTAGGACTGAGGGCATTTACCTCAAAAATCATATGTTATTTTTTCTCATATTGTTGTAAGATATTTAATATCAGGTTTGATCGTTGTAAATGATTTTGCTCCCCCATTTTAAAAATTACATTTAACGACTAGATTCACCACTTATCATTTTATGATTAAAACTAGGTATTTCATAACTTTAAAACAATCAAAATATATATTCTTTATAAGAGTGAACAATATACATATATATTACCTAACAAAATATGTATTTAAAAAATTTAAATTTATAAATTATAATAAAAAAATTGATCTACGTCCATTTTGAATACTATTCAAAAAATCATAGCTACGATCCAAAACGACCAAAACATCTTTATTCGCGTATTACCTGTAACGACTCGAATATTGTATTTTTTCTCTCAAAATGCAAGATTCCCGACGGAATTAGTGGGGAAAAATTTGAAATAATCGTAAAACGTACCGACGTATGAGAAATCGTTGGCTTCTCGTACGGAAAACATAATAAATTATTACGACTTTAATTCTCTCGGGAAATGTCTTCGTAATATTTTTGTTTCGATATAAAATGTTTGCCAAAATCTCAAAGTATGCTTGTGCGTCTGAGATTAGTCTTGACACGTTTCGTAATTAGGTTTCAGCCGTAAAACTTAAATTTATTTATTTACGATGTGCGAGTGTTTCAGAAGACTGCGCAGTGAACCGGTTAGCATTTAAGCCGAATAGCAGTTAGATTATATGATTTCGGTTCAATTAACTGATACGACGTAAACCTTGATTGAAAACCTCATTACCTCTGTGGATTTGAAAATTGTTTCCCCCCCTCAGAATCAAGATATCCGCCACTGTCTATTATAGGGTACCTACTTATTAGTAGGTAACTAACCAGACAAAATTTTACACCAGAAAAAGTAAGATTTTAGGTTGAAATGTTTTTTTATATTAAACAGAAAAAAAAAACAGAAGTGCATAATACGTTCCTACGCTCAGAATCAAAAACAAAATAATTATCAAATGGAATTTTCAAGCTAAAATATCAATAATCTTATTTTCTAGACCTTTGTCGTTTGTGCGTGACGTTCGTTTGGAGATAATAAGTTTCGAAAATTATTTGTATTATGCAAATATAGTAGGTACAACTAGTATAGCTGGTAATATCCGTCGAAACAATTACACATTTTCGTACGAGCGTTGTAAATCGATTGCGACGTATAACAAAATAAAGTAATACTATTATAACCGTCGCAAAGAATTTAATATTATTGAGATTTACTTGCAGATTGTAAGCCTATAGTATTCTTAAAAAAAGGTGATAATCCGATATCGTTGTTTTTATAAACCGATTACGTGGTACGAATCGCGATGTTGTTTCTTATTTATCATCTTAGTGGGTTTTTTTTTTTGCAATTGTCATTGTATAATAATATTATACAATTAGAACAGCGTTGTATTATATTGTTTGTATGTATTGATATAATATATGTATGAATCCTTTTTTTGATTTTTCCATTCTTCAGGGCGTAAAGCGTAACCAAAAGTTACTGTACTGATATTTTAAAAAAAAAATGTGAAACTTTTGGTTACCAATCCAATTTTCCCCCGATGCATCGACATTCAACACATATCGCTAGGGAATTGATACAATTTATTTATTTAATAACACACGATATGAGATAATTACTATATTGTGGGATTGTAAGAGTGATAGTAACTATAGATAGTAACTATTACCATGTGAACATGTCGCTCTATTTTACTGTTGTATCGCTCTGTAATAATTAATGTTTTTATCGAAATTCACTATTATATCGATTGTATTACGTCATTTATTCGATTTATATATTACATTTTCATAATATGGACGTTAATTCTGTGATAGTTACGATCGCAATACAAAATATCGTGATAGTAAAAAGCATGATACTAACTTTATAATTGTGTTTGAAACAAGATTTATACACTGCGCATACTCGTAGTGTATAATATACACACAATGTTCCAAACAATCGTGTATAAAGCTTATAAAAAACGTGAAAATTATAATTTACCCGCAATGCGAAATTACAAAATTCTGTTTATTATAATAAATTAATAGCATAATCGATATAGTTTTTATTACCAAAACCGTATTTTATCCGATTTTAAGTATAATATTTATCACGGATAGATATAGGTACTGTATAATTAAATTATATTCGAGAATCATTTTACTGTAAAATATTTCATAATTTTGTTTTTGTTTAAAATTAATTAGATTTTTTTGTGTATACCGCAGTCAGCCAATCCAAATCGGTCAATTTACGATTGGGGGGAGATTTTTGCGATGTCCCCTTTCTGATTTATACTTCAAGCATCTCCGTGGAGCCGGTGTTTATATCAATACTATATTGTTGTTAGTTTCGTCCCGGCTCTCATTCATTTTCCATTCGCAAACACTTATAGAATTTTGTGTCTCTTCCCCTATCTTTTCTAGTGTATTTTGATTCGTTTCGGGACTAATGAAAGCAAAAACACTGCACCCTCATCACCACAGAGTGTTCCGTTTTGCAAATATCTTGGTTAAAATATTTCTTCTATTATTGCGTTTTATTCTACTGTGTTTTTCTTCTTCCATTGTTATATTTATATCTAACTCATTTTAGTAGTATCATTTCATTTTTTAATAGTTAAATATTAATTAGTAAATCAATAGGCGTGCAATAATAACGTAATATAATACTTGTATCGCTTCGTTTAGCCGACGACTACAATAGCGTACAAAATAATAACATACGTGTATATGTATAAAAACGACAACTGTAAAAAAAATAATAATTATCGAACGTGTAACGACTTTATAATAAAACATGCCGTTGTACCTGTGTTCTGATATTTCGCACTTATGCTTTTCAAACAGCTTTGAATGTTCAAATTGTATGTAGTGAGGTACTTCATATGCTTATTAATCCGAGTAGATAATCAAATAATGAGTTAAATATTATTGATTTATTGCAAAATAATAATAGTTTTGTCATCAGGCAATAGGGTGGGTCATTTACACACATCTAAACAAAGTTTTTTTTAAAATGGTACCGTTGTGTTACTAATGCGTTATAAGGAGAATTTGGCGTTGAGATCACTAAAATGAATCACAAATTTAAAATCAATACCTCAAAATGGCCATAGTTTAAACACCAAGGGGAGAGAGAGGGAAAAACCTACCAAAATAGCTTCAACTATCACCAATTGTCTTGTTCTTTCTTATAGTGAAACACAAAGGTATGTAAACTGTTAATAAGGACTTCACTATTCCTTCTATTTTCTTTGATATAAACCTAAAAGACCTCAGCAAGGACCAGAGGTATATTTACGAAATAACAAATTCTATTGGATCCAGAAAATGCTCAATATTGTATTTACCAGTTGAAAGCCAGATTTTATTAACTAGGCTCATTGGCTTACCACAGCAAAAATGATTCTAAAACTGTATATGTAAATTAAAATGCCCAGAAAGAAAATGGAATTAATAATGAAATACTTAATAACAGTCTACATATATTTGTGGTCCACCATATGAAAGAACAAGTCAATTACTGATAGTTGTTAAAGCCATTAAGCGGTTAAGATATATTCCTTTGAAATATCAAAGTGTGGTAAATGCATCCATTCATACCAATGCATTCTTTGCAATGCTTGCAAATGTTTTCTTTGTAATGGCAATGAATTCAAAGCGTGTTCGCAGAGATGCATTGGAGAAATTATTGAAAGCAAAATAGAAATAAAAAAGACGGACGTACTTCACACGATAAGTGAAACACTGTTTTAGATGAGAAGTTGAGAAGGTAGGATATAGAGAGTATGTTTATATGTAATGATAAATCATTGCTAATGAAAAACGATTCTGAACGGAGTTCCGTTTTAAATGTTTTAAAAGACCGTAATATTTATGGTTTTTGTCAAAATTTAATATTAAAATTTTTATAAAAAGAAAACTTATTAAAAAACATTAAACTAAACTTTTTCTTATTGATCACTAAGTAAAACTTATAATAAATCGTCTGTTCAATTTTCAAGTATTTCTGTTTGCGCTAACAATTTTATACACCGAGTAAAACCGATTAAAAATGACATAAAAACTCACAAAATTAAAATGTCTATTAATAATTAAAATGTTTTGAACATTTTACCACTTCTAGAATAGACAAATATAAGTTTTCTGTCCAAACTTCAAGTCTTTATGAATATGTTTAACTGAATAACAACAAAAAATAAAATTGAAAATAATAAAAGCATAATTTTATTATAATTATATTATTATTTTATTATCATTGTTTTCGTAAATATTTCCGTTTTTCTTAAGTATTATGTAAACTGCTTGGAAAATTGAAAAAAATAGACTTTGTTAAAGTACTAACTCGAAAAATTTCCTTTCGCAAAAAGTGCACACACAGTACATACAAAGTGTACACTTTTTAGTCGATAGTGGACTTGAGCTTCACAATTTTCCCCTTTAGCGAGAGGAATTGGGTCTTTGTTTAATAATGTCTTAAATTTTGATGACCTATAGAAAAATCAATCGTTGCAATAAAATAGCGGATGTTATTTTATAATTTGCCTTCAGTTTGCTGTTTACGGAGGTTCGTTGAAATAGTGGACTCCGGGGACATTATCGAGTTTAAAGCCCAAAGTACTTGTTTGACCAAGGTCAATAGTTGATTAGCTGAGTACCGCCATCTGTTTCTACAACTTTTTGACTTTCGGTTTTGCAGATACCAGAATGGTAACCTTCGTTTTTCTGGGGACGTTTCCAGCAATCACCGACAACGTTTTCAACTACGGTTTCCGGACAAATTTGATTTTTGACTTTAGGTTTAAAATATGTATTGTATTGGTAGAAGAATTTTGATGTTCATCATAATTATTAGGCCACTAGTGTCAGCTTTTCCTATATTTTTCAGTCCAGAGTTCAGTTTATTGTTATATTATCATTTATAAATTTCATATCCTTCTTTGCAGTATCTTTCTATCTAGTTCTTGGTTTACCAAGTGGTTTTTTTTTTGTTTAATTTTCCTGACGAAACATGTTTTTAAACATCCATGTTTACCATACATACATGTACAACCCAGTCGTTTTCATGTTGAATATGTGAATATATTGGGTTTCTTATAAAGACAATACAGCTCTTTATTATATCTTTTTCGAAAATTCCTTGGTCATTATTATACACCGGTCTATAAATGTTTCTTTAGATTTTCTTTTTCCATATCGTAAGTTTTAACTGTCTTCTTTTATCGAGAATCAAGTATTATAGGTATAAGTTACTATTGGTATGGTAACTTGTGTATAAAATGACTTTTGATTTTCTTGATGATAATTTCGATCTTAATACATTGTTTATACTAAAATAACATTTATTTATTTATTATAGAACGCTCCGAATCTAAAGAATAATTTAAATATTTATAATTAGGTATATTAATATATATATTACATAAAATACTGATAATAAAGTGGAGATTCAGATTCAGTTAAGCGGACGTGATACTCCTCGTAATTCAATTGCAAAAAATGTTTTGCACGTGAATATTCTATTTTATATATTCTTTCCATTCTTATAGTTAGTATTTACTAACATTTTACAACATATTAGAAAAAAATGAATCTGTGCAGTATTATTCCTTTTTTTACATGATAATTGTACATTATACATATAATACAAATTAATTAATTTTTAAATTCCGAGTGGAGCAAAGAAAAATGTTTATTTTTTTGTTTATTTTTCTGTGGACAACTTTTCTACTTGAGGACTTGCTCCAATTTTTAGTGTAGCAACTTTTCTAAAAGGAAATAGGTGTGGGGAGGAACCTTAGAGAGTTTTTAGCAGATACAGATTTTAATACGAGCAAGTTTAACTTCGTAAATTGCTATGTGACATAATAATACCAAAGCTGCTAAATGAATAAATTTCCTAGCTTAAATACATAGTGTTTTAAACAGCAGCCATGCAATTACATTGTATTATTTTGCTTGTTTCAGTGCTATGTAGTTTCATCGATTTATCATAATACCAGTATATTGAAATATTATTTTGAGCAGTAGAAAAACAGATTTTATTCTAAAATATAGGATTTATTGTTATCGAAAGATTAATTGGCTCAACCCTCGTATTAGTACCATAGCCGTACTGTACATATATATATTTTGTACACAAGACGTTCGTTAGTTTTGCCGGTTAATTAGATGGTTTAAAAACGCAAAAAAAAAAAGCAAATCACTGGCAGAGAACGGTTTTCATACAAGGGGAAATTCCATTATAACAGATTTCTCTTACGGACTATTATAATATTATAAATCTCGTTTTGCAATCGGTTACGTCAATTTATATTATTTTTTTGGCGAATTTTCAACTCGTCTTTCCTATTACCATCAATCAATATATTTTTATTCTGGTGTATCGTATTACGCGACATCGTATTTCCGATCGGTTTGCCAGCGACGACAAGCGCAATTTTTACGACAATTGTGATAAAATATTATTTGCTACACTCTTCTGAACCGCGTTAGGTTTCAGCGCTCGACATTATTTTATTATGTTTATTATTGTCAGGAGGATACGGTCCTGATCAGAAACCTCATATATTGAGACCCCTTTTAATCGTGCCATCATCATCACTGTATGACTACTGTAAAGGTTCGCCGAGAAGACGGACCCTCGCCTCTCGATGAGACGACGTTTTTTTGTAATGCCGACAAAAAGAAAAAAATGATACTGGAATTTCGTAATAATATCGTTTCCTATTGGTGGTTAGTTGTCTACACGTTTCTAAAGTTATTTTATAAAATATTATAATACTATAGGTGTTTAAAAAGTATTTTGTTTATTTTTGAACAATTCAAAAATAATTAGATCACTTGCCCTTTCCGAATTCAGTAATTTATATAAAATTCGCGTGATTAGACCTTGAACCGCAAAAAAATGTAAACAAGTACACTTCTAGGTTTTTAATTTGACATATTTCAATTCCGTGTAGGCATACGCAACTGGTTCGTTATATCATTTATAGACCATATTATTATTATTTTTTTTATTTTCATTGTTATCGGTGTCGATCGAACATAATATAAGACTCTCATCGTTAATATTATTGCAAGACGAGTCAACGGACAAAAATTACAGCAGCAGCAGCGTTGTTGCACAAGAAACGAGAAACAAGGTCTGATGATTATATTCAGTGTGTATAATATACGAATTTATTTTAATCCGTTTTGTTTTAGAAATCTCGTATATTCAGTATGTTCGCCGAATAATAATCATAATAATTGAACAATCATTATTTTTAATTGATTGATCGATTGTGTGACTCGTTATTGGCGTTTTGAATGCGTGATTATTTTATAAATGGGTTTTAAATATTGCGCGTGTGAGTCTATATATTGAGAATGTTAATAACAATTCATGTAGTTTTTGTTATGAGTTAGGTTCTTGCGATAAGTTTTGTCAAAATAATTCGGAATTTTGAATAGTTGACAACAATAAAAGGTGAATAACTTATTCTGTTACTATACGAATACCAAAATTAAGTGCCTAACACTGCGTAGTATTTGAATCCTATGTAAAATACCGATAAATATATCCATTATAGTATTGAGAATCGCCTTTTTACGTGTTTAATCGAAAAACATGATTTTTTTTTTTTAAAACTTGATAAGATTCAATATTGGATTTCATAGATACATAAATTAATTACCTATGTTAGAAAACTGCCGTCGTTTAAACGGAATTATTGGGTCAATAGCGTACGGAAATTGGCCTCGCTCAATGCACTATAGTGCAATAGCTCAACCTTTACCTTAACTGATTGGAGTAGTCTGGTTCTCTAGTTTGAAGATTTTGTACCATATTAACAACCCCATCATGTAAAATAATAAGTTATGTTCAGGATTCAAACACAAAGTTTCAGACTAGAGTTAACAGGAAAAATAGCTCCATTTTCTAGAACTAGTAACTAGCAACTAGCAACTAGTCCTTTTATAGTATTTGTGCCATACTGCTGTATTTTTCCAAAATATTGCGAAACAAAAAATGTTACAGTCGTGTTATCTTTTTTGTCAAATAGCTTCGTAAAAATTTGCGTTTGGCAATATTTTAAAAAACCAGCAACGTATTGCCCATAAATAAAAATGTCTTTAAATTGTGTGTTTAGTGTTGAAACTATAATTTAAATCTAAAAGTCACTGTTTACAATATGCTAAGTAACGTTATTTCGTTATGTAGTTAATTAGTCAAACCGAAGCATTGTATGTCGGGTATATATCCTTCTCTTAAAATGGGTGGCTTGTAAATTACAAATATTTCTTGTATATACGATTTCGTTTTATGTAACACGCTCGAGATTCGTACCTACTGCAGCAGACACTGGTTTTTTCTTCTGTAAACCCAGCCGAATTTCCTAAAACAAATAAAAAATCCCGCAACAGGTAGGTATTACTGCGTATTATACCTGTCTTCAGTGTCATAAGATTATTATGTATTATTTCGGTTAGATGTTATAAGGTATATACATTATATGTAAAGGTGAGTTACAGAATCTTTAAAATATTCTGTATACACATGAATGCTAGGCAGTTATGTAATATTCAAAACGGTGTAATATGCGTATTTAATTATTATTTTTTTAGATTTGGAGCGTAGTGAGGGATCTATTGGTTTTACTATGATATGTGTGTTTTTTTTTCGTTTGTAAACATTTATTCGAAAAGAAAACTTGCTCTAATCTTTAGAGTGAAACTTCTTTTACGAAAGGAAATTTTATTTAGTTGGTTCATTAAAAATGAATTTTTTTTAATTTTTCAAGGGGTTTTTAAAACAGTTGGGAAAAAAGAAAATTATAGGTAAAATGGCAAATATTTACGGTGCATCCCTACGTTATCGATTTCGTTGTTTTAAATGTTTGCAAATTGTTTTCTTCCGAAAATAATGCTCTAATAGAAAAACGACGAAAGACCTTTTTTGTTTAATTTTTAATCTAGTTAGTTGGTGAAATTTTTCGTTTATTAATTTTTTAATTTTCTTAGTAGTTTTCATTATAATTAGAAAAGACCAGAAAAAAGCGTAGAAAAAACAAGGAAATTATGTGAAAATAATGATCTTATTAATTTCAATTTTTTTTTTTTTTTTTTTTGGAATTCAGTTATTAATATTTGTAGTGACTTGAAATTTTGACAGAAAACTTATATTTACCTTTTCACTTCACAATTTTACGTGTCATCTAGACGGGATAAAATTTTAAAACATTTAAGCCATTTTTATTGAAATGTTTAAAAATTTGACAGGAAGTTCATTAGTCTATAAAAAAGTTAAATGACTTTATGTATCCTACTTACCCCATTTCCCACCTTCAACAGTATCACTATTTTTAAGTTTTCTTTGTTAAGTTGGAATAAACATTATTATTATTATTATTATTTAATATAGAATATTACATATAATTAATATAATATAATATAGTATATAATGGACCTCACTGAGCAATCAACATGTCTAATCATCTGATTAATTTTCAATTAAATAGCGAAGGTTTTTCTGTCAAAGAATTCCAATTACAAATTTAATAATTCATAATATAAAAACTTCAACAGTCAATTAATTTTCCATTACGTGACTTAATTTTTGAAAGAATTAAATTTATTACATTATTAATTTTACTTAATATTTAAATTGAAATACATTATATTTTGTAACTTATACATATATACGCAGTGACGAATTCAGAGGGAAGACCTAGGGGCCTTAGTCCTCCAAACTATAGAATATACAAGTTTTTACGTCCACAAATAACTAATTGTTCAACATATTATATAATACAAAATGTTCAATAGAGAAAAGTTGTGCGGAGCAATTGATTATACTATATTTTTAATATTTTTTTTTTCTGTCTGCGAATACATTTTTACAAGAAATCGTATTCAAATAAAACAGTAAGCAATGGTTTATCGGTGTTTACAGATATAAATTAAATAACCTTTATGTATCCTACATTCTTAGGATCATACAAATCCAATTAAACCGGGAAATTTTTCGTACCATCATTGGGAAGCGCGTACTGCTGGTCAGATATACGAATCGATATAATATTTCCATTTATATTTCACTGCACAACGTTGAATCGTGTATAGCGAAATATAATTCCAGAATAGGCCCTTCAGAGTTCCAACACCAGGCTGCAATAGAAATAATAATAAATAGTTTCGGTTTTTGCCCGACCGAGGGGTGCGACTGATTCTTATCAGCGGTGGTCGTGTCACATGTATATTCCCGTGGAGAGGTGGTCGGCGTCGTAAAGTCGTTTAATAAGTACTTAACCGTGCGTCCGCAGAACTCTCCGGAGGGAGACGTCCGCGGTTGGCGTGTATATTTCGGGTCGTTTCAACGAAATTCGAAACCCCTTACGGCGTATATGTGTTTTTTCCCCCGTCATTTGGAATTTTGGACCGCGACCGTCTAAAATAATGTGTTCCGCCCGTGTAGTTAGATATAGATACTCAAGGGACAGACAAAAATAACGCTGGCCGTTCAAAATTATTACTATAGCCGTCTTCGTTTCACGTGGAATGAACATTTTATTGGTATTTTAGCACAGTGTAGTTGTCGAAAAAAAAAATGATACGAATAATTTTCAGTTTTTTCTATTTAAAAGGACACTACAATGGAATCACAAAAATCACCTTCTTAATGAACCAAAAAGATTGAAAAATATTATAATAAAGTTACTGTAACTGTTTTGATTGCAGTATAAAATTACTTGTAGAAAAATTATGTAAAAACACAAAAAAAGTCACATCATTTTAAAACCAATATATTTTGCTGAATATACAGAAATGTAAGCTACAATTTTAATCATTTGTTTGTATTCTGTGTGATTTGTATTTTCCTAAGTAACACTGAATATTTCAACCGGATAACCTTGAATTTAAATTTAGTTTTCGGTAGGTGAATGCAATCACTGATAAATCATATTTTAACCCATTCAGTGCTTGCATGTGCATTTCAAATAACTTTTATTTTAATAATAAAACCTATTTTCATCAATACTAAGTTCAAATGGTTTGATTTTTTTAAGTAACATTTTATCAACACAATTTTGTTACATCTCAAAAATTACTTAAGATACAGCGATCTAAAATTTATATAAAAAAAAATATAAAAGATTTCTTCTCGATATTTAAAAAATATTAAAATATAAGCATGTGTAGTTTTAGAATACATTTCTTCATTTGAAATTTCAAGTCACACTAGCAATGAATTTGTTTCATACTCATAGGTACAAAAGGTAATACGTAGGATTATTGTGTACGTTACATTTATTTTTAGCAATAACTAGTGCTATTTTAGTTTTTTTTTCTCTGAAGGGGAGGGGTGTTTTTCTGCTGTTAATATATTAATATTACTTGAAAATTCAAGTTTATTTTTTAAAATTTGATATCATCAATCAGCTGCGGGAATGAATCAAATCGGTTTTATCCCGCATATTTTAAATTATTAAGACTATCTATATGTTCTAAAATTATGTACTCGATCGTTTTGAGTCAACTGTTTAACTGTTGACAAAATTAAGTGTTATTGATATTGAATTTTAGTGAATTTCTGCTTTATTTCAAGTGTTTTTTTTTTTTTGAACCATATATTTGCAACATACAATATCTTTATACACAAATTTAAATAACTCTAAAAACGTAATATTTCATAGTTTACGTGATTTATTAATACTATTGGTTAATAATATTCGCCGTGTAGTACCGATAAAATAACGTACACGGAAGTATGTAGATGATGCGCGTAAAAATCTATGATAGTATCAAAATAAAACCGTGAATACACTCTGTACTTGTAGGCTGTAATTGAGTTGTTTAGATGTTTCGATTAGATTAGTACATAAGATTTGGTTTGGAAATCGTTTTGTTTGTTTGGTTGCTATTATTATATTTTATCATCTGTATAGTATAAACTGAAATTAAAATATTAAATCGTTAGGGCGATTGGAAGTAAATCGCTTTTTTATACATTTAGACATTGTAAACCACTTGGAGTAAAATAAACATAGGTACTTCCAGTAGTCCAGTTTCTGTTGTGAATATTTGACTTTTTCGTCTATATTTTGTTGAACAAATATTTGCATTTTTTTGCTACTTTTAGGTGCAAGTTTATTTTTAAAAAAAACAAGGTAAACTCATTATGCACTTTAACTTAGCTAACTAAATACAAATTTTTCCTATAAAACATAGAGAAGAAATCAAAAAATTAAAATGTATGTTTTATAATTCAATTAAGGCGAACGGTAGAGAGTTAGTTTTACACTAGCGCATTAGTCTAAAACTTCATGTTCGTTTGTATTCAAAATTTGAAAACTATTTTTACTTTTTATTGACCACTATGGCCCTTTCCCTTTAATACGTACCAGATAGTAAATTAATGGAAAATTCTTATCATTAAGGTTGTTAATAAATGGTAAAAAATAATTGTTGAAATTTACAAAACTGGAAACAACTTGAAAAACCACCCATCTTTTATGATGCCATTTAAATTTTAATATCTCGAGTATTTGTAGTATTTAAATGTAAATATCGTGTATCTTGTATTGCTATCCTCTTTTGAAGTATCTTGCCAATGTTTGTGTATGTATAATCGTCCTGTACAATAAAATCGGCAAGATTTATGCGACCTCATGGTGTATTACTACACTATATTATAATATGCGTTTTTCCGGTCTGCCGTATTGTATATAGCATCTTATACATTCGGTCGGAAACGATTATATTTTTATTATTTTATCGTTTCGTATATTATATAATACTATATAGACCTTAAAATATAACGCAGTGGATGATAAATTATTGAATGCAATTTACTCTTAGCAAACTATGTGTAGTCCTTCTATTACAGTTACATCGTTTGTGTTTTTATTTATTCGTTTTTACGCAAGATGCATTTTGATTGTTTTCGTCAAACGCGAATAGCCGATATTCAGAATAATATTGTTTTACCACGTTGCAAGTCTGCAATTTCAATGTAGATTAAAATAATATAGGCTAAGTGAAAAATTGTGAAAAATTGTGTAATATTATGTGTGGAAGTACTAGAGATCAAACATTCCAAAAAAATAGATTTTTCAAATAAAAGAAAAAAAAGGAAAAACAAAGTTTCTGTAATAATCGTGCAATTTTCGTGCATTTTTTGGAAGTAAATATTTTCAGGAAAATTGATTTTTTTTTTAATAAACCGAGAAAATACGTTGTTTTTTGATTTATGTTGATTCATAAAAAGCAGTAAAAATACTAGAAATTATAAAAGCATTACTAAATATAAATGAAGGTTGTAGGGAATGATTTTTGGTTCACGTTTTTCACGTATTCTTTCCAGTTATTTTATTCGGAGCGTAGCAAGGATCTTATGATTTTACCTAGATTTTTTTTTTTTTATGTCTGTAAACAACTTTTCTACCAGAAATCTTGTTCTAATGTATAAAGTTTAGTCATTTTTAAGAAAGGAAATTAACCGGGAAAACCGGGAAAAATTTAGAAAAACTGGGAAAATCGCTATAACATTAAACAAATATTATTAAAGAAAATATGTAAAGCCTATTTAATTATTTTACTATAAAATAATATAATTATATATATATTGTTCATAAAACATCACTATCAAAATAATTTGGAAAAGCTAGAAAGAAAATTATTGGTAAAACGGCAAATATTTACAGTGTTACCGATTTGTTTGTTTTTAATTTTTACAAATTATGTTTTCTACTAATATTGCTTCAATAGAAAAACGACAAGTAACCTTTTTTGTTGCGTTTTAGATCAACAGAGAAAGTCGTTTTATGAATTTCCTAGTAGTTTTCATGATAATTGGGAAAACTGGAAAAAGACGAAAAATGTGAAACTAACATATGTACAGCGTAAAATGTCATTATTTTAAATTTGTACGACTTATGTTTTTTACTATAAATATTGCTCCTATTTAAAAATGACAAGAAACCTTGTTAAATTTTTAATTTCGTTGGTAAATAAGAAAATTGTTTTTTAATTTTCTTTGAATTTTTGATTGGTAGTACTCTGCAGAAAAAAAATTTTAGGTTAAACTAAACAGTAATGCTTAAAAATTTGACGATTTATTATGAGTTTTGATTAGTGGTAAAAAATAAAAAAATGAAGTACTAATTCTTTTTTTATGTTTCCGATGTATTCTGGAACGAGGAAATTATTTAATATACAGAATAGTATATAATATTTATTTGCCTTTATAATTTATGAAATACTGCTACAAATACATGAACGAATATTATTACTATATGGTTATTTTGATGCATAAATATGTCAATGTTAAAAAAGAAGAAAAAAATTGAAAAATAAATTGAAAATTGATAGTTGAAATTAAAAGTTGCTACTGGAAAATTTTTTTATTTATTTCTCAAAATTTCTAAATTCTATTGTTAAGTCTTTAATTATTGTAATACTTAATTTTTTTTTTCTTGAAATTGGTCCTTCTTGCTTTAATTTGCAGATATAACAGTGTGTTTTTATTATTATTACAGTAATATATTGTCATTTATTTTTCTTATGGATATATATGTATAAACTCTGCACGACAAATGAACGGAGAGGTTAGATTTGTGTTCATATATTGTGTACTACCACGGTCTCAAATTACAAAACAAAAAAAAAAGTATTTATCGAGTATTTTGAGTATTACTTACCGGGTAATTTAATCCCTTGAAAATAACTCATTATTATCGTTACTTGATATTTGGTATAATAATATACCTTTGTATACCATTTCACTTGTTCAGTTTGCACTCGTTATAAATTTCCATAGTTTTAGATTCCCGAAAAGTACATAAATACATACTGATCGACGCCGTGGTTCCCGTGTTTGTGTTTATATTTATCATAATATAGTCAAATTCGATTTTGCTATTAGTTCGGAAGAGAAAAAATTCTACAATATTTGACTCTATTATCAATTATATAAAATAAACCCTGCCCCCTCCCCGTTTAAATGCCCTAGATTCAAATTTAATATTCCAACCGGTGTATGCATAATTCATTATATATTATTTATATTTTCCAAATGTAATTTAAATAGTAATCGAAATATATGTGTATTTACATCACATTATAGTTAGGAATATTGTCGTAATGAGTGACGAATGAGGTTGATGGGGTACCTAATACATTTATTTGCAGCTAATACAAACCTAAAACATGATAGATATTTTTTGCAAAACTCATTTGACATTTTTTTTTGTATTTGCCCCAGGTCATAATTGTTGTTTTGGTACGTAAATATATCCCCTCTATATATTGATTTTTTTTTTCAAAGGTAACGAGAATATATTTATTGTGAGCAGAAAAATTATATCGGTTAAACGTCCAACATCCACGATATATGATACTAAACACGTATAACGATATTTTAAATGAGAGTTTAAGACCAAATTTTATTGTTCGTCGAAATAGTTCAGTTTGAATTAATAAGTATACCAATAACTATTAACACATATATGTGAGTGTCTTATCAGCTAGAATAATTCGAAAATTGCGAATCCAAATTTTGAAAAGTATATTTGAATTTGTAGTGAAGTCTATATAATGCGACTCGAGATCGAATTTTCCTCTAAAAAAAATATATATATATATACGAATAAAATGTAGAAATTAAAAATTCGTCATAAGAAACCTAAAAATTGTGATAGTATCGATGTTTATAGACTTGATGACCAATTTAAAACGGTTTTTTTTTTAAATATTCTTATCGCTTCAATATGCGATACACAAGTATAAATTCAGTTCATTTCATTTTTCAGTACTTCCTCAGAACAGCAGGACACTGTTTATTATAAATATTATTTAAAAGTAACTAAAGTCACAATTTTAGGAGATAAGGTCGGAGCACTGTTTATTTCCTCTGTATAACTATTTATTATGTGGTCGCTTGAAAATTATATTTTAGTTTACTTTTTTTTCAGAGAGCGTCTCAAACTGTACTATATCGAGGTTACGTTTAAATGTCTAAATTGTTAAAAAATGTTGAAAATTGAACTTTTTTTACATTTTGTGTTTGTAAACAAAATAATAAATAATCTAATTAATTATAATTGTAATTAATATTTATAACCCGACCTCAAAGTGCAAAAAGTTGTGCTGGTTTTACGCATCGTAGAACAATGAAAATAGTTGATAAAATAGTTTATGTAAGTATTTATTTACTGAAAGTACCTCACTGAGAGGCCACATTATCGATAAAAGACTGTTCCGACCTTACCTTATTTATATATTATACTCTGATTAAAAACATTTTTTTTTAACATGATATTCGTGCGGTGTACACTTTTTGTATGTTAGAAACATGAAAGTTTTCGAATTATGGACAAAGAGTAATTTTGTTTGGTTCTTCGAGTTATGAAAACGTTCGTATTGACAATATTTATATAAAACTTATAATGGTCACTGATCGTCAAGAAATTATATGTTATTTCAGAGTACATTTATTGTGTTTCAATGACTCAAGATCACCCATTTTATCAATGGGAATGTAAACCCGCGAGAATAACATGATAGTCACCATAAGGAATCATAAAAAAAAACAAATCAATTGTATTTATACACATGTTAAATCAGGCCGGAAAAACAACGCGCAAATCAACATAAACGTCCCGGAAGGGTTGAATACCGACAAAAACGATCGATATTTGTGCGTGTGGTTACACGCAAACCAAAAACCGAAAACACGTACATTCACCTATACCTATATAATTTGGTTTATGAAAAGTTTTATTTTTTTTACGTACGTGCCTCGCAATACCTTTTATAGGAAACACCGCGGGTTACATATTTTTGTTGGTTTTTATTTTTCTCTACGCGTGGCGTGTTTTTCAATCGATTTTTTTCGCGGACGATAAGATAAATATTGTGTGGTAAGTGTATAAAAACTGAAACCCCACCGCATATACAATATACAATATATAATGTTCCTTTGAATTCGTCATCCTATTTTAACGATTATACGATTACACCGCGTGTGTAGTTAAAACTTCATTACTTCTGTCATTGTTTCTTTTCGTATGACGACTGATATCGATTTAAATAGGTACTAAGTTTTTAAAATATCACGTGGGACTCACTATTTCAAGCGTGGATATGAGGAAACGATGCTTCCCAAAAATTTCAAAAAAAAAAAAAAAGTTTTTGCTTTTTAATCTTTGTTATTAATGTATAATATTGGGCGTATTCATATTTAATGACATTCCGTCACAAGACACAAACCAACAATATTTAAAAAAAAAAAGGTAAGATATAATGGGGACGAGTGCAGTCACTGGTGTAGATGGGAAGTTGAGAAGATAGGATATAGACGGAAATTCTATTTATATCTGTAAGCAACGATAAACCATTGTTAACGAAAAAACGATTCTGAGCAGAGTTCAATTGATGTTTTTTCAACAATTTATATGTCATATTATAGTAAAATAATTAAATAGACTCTAAATATTTTCTTTAATAGTATTTGTTTAATGTTGTACCGATTTCCCCGGTTTTCCACGTTTCTCCCGGTTTTCCCATATTTTTCCCAGTTTTTCAAATTTTCTGAGAAAACTCTGTGGAAAATCGAAAAATTACTTCTCAAAAGTACCTCCTCACACCGATTCCCGTTCAGAAAAGTTGCTATACGTAAAAATCGGAGCAAGTCTTCTAGTAGAAATGTTGTCCACAGAAAAAAAAAGTAAATATCTTTCTAAAACCATAAGCTTCTTCACTCCACTCAGAATCTAAAAATGCCACTTAACTTTTTCATTCAGCAAATGTATTTGTCTTTAATCAGAAATTATTATGGGAATTCGGTTTTCAACCATTTCTAAATTTATTTTGTCTTATAATTTAGGTGTATGATTTCATTAATTAACACTTGAATATCTGCTTTTATCAATATTAACAAAAACGGTTGTCTTTCTAATTAACTTGTTGATTTGTAAATCATGTGAAAATAAATTATTATTATTATTTTTTATGTTTAGATACATAAAAAATTTTAAGGTGTTATGTTGAGGTGATATTTTGTGAATACACATGAAAGATATGAATGGTTTTTAAATAAAAATCATTGGAGACTATAAGTCTATAAATCTCGTGGGTGTCTTAAGCCTCCCAACTCTCTGTACATGCTGCCTATGTTGATGAATATGTGATTTCTATATGTATTATAAATCTGTTTGCAGATCTCGTGATGTCATAATTATTATAATATGTGACGTGGTTATTATATATTTTAGTCGGGTATATAGCGTGCGCCTATCTTTTAAAACCGTGGATTATAACGCGCAAATCGTGGACAAATATTTGTACAATAAATCCCGCAAGCGTATCTTTACACACTTAGGTTATTAGATAGGTATTAATTAATAATATCATATAATATATAGAGCAGGCGTAGCTAGTTTACGGGTTTTTATATTATACGTTTTTTTACTATACCTGGTTGCGAAAATGTTGCTTGTGTCTAATATCTTACAGTTTCTGTATGAAATATAGCTGCTTACTGGTGTGGTGAAGTGATTTTTGAGAGGTCTCTGCATTTTTTCAGTGGGTGGATGAGTGGGTGATTTGGGTATAGCTTATGATTCAAATTATGAATTGTAAATTGTCAAATGAATCGTACTTATATGTAATAACAAAATTAGAAAATCAGAATATGCAATCATGTACAGCGGTATGATATTTGATCGGTAGTTGTATGCATAGAATACTAATATTTTGACAGTAATCTAGTGAAGCTGCAAATATTTTAAAATAATTATAATACTAACATAGTATCTGTTCGAATTATTTTTATAGGTATTAAAAATATTTTATTGGTTGTTCATAAACTTTATAAGGATAAAAATATTATGAAATCAGGACAAAAGTGGGACGTTTAATGAAAATTAAAGTCTCGTGTAGACTTAAAATTATTTATTATTTTAAATTTTGTTCTTTTTAATGGAATTTAGTTTAAATTATTTGTTGAGGTACAAAATGTCGACAGAAATTTTATATTTACTTTTTCTAGATGTAGTAAAACTTTTAGAACATTTAAGACATTTCTGATTTATTTATAAAGGTTTTAATTTTGTCGAGTTATTTTATGAATTTTTATTTTGAAGATTCTCTGTAGATACATTTTTAAACTTAACAGAAATACTTGAAATTTTGATAAAATGTTCATTATAAGTCATTATTAGTGGTTAAAAAAAAAATTAGTTAAATTTTTTTTATATGAGTTTTAAAATCAAATTTTATCGAAAATCGTAAATATTACGGCCTTTTTAAACATGTATATCTGAACTTCGCTCCGAATCGTTTTTCATTATAAATGGTTTATTATTGGTTCCAGGTATAAATTAAACAATTTTGTCTATTCCATCTTCCTTATTATCCACACACAACAGTGGCCGCACTCGTTCCCAAAGCTTCCCACCACTATTTGCGCCTTACGTATAAACTGCCGATAATGAAATAAGTTGTATGATGTATACAATAAGCATTAATCAAATATAATACTAATTTAATACGGCTATTATTATAGACAATGCTTAACACTTTTGGCAGGGGGCTAGACAATATTTTATATAAATTATTAACACTATTTTGTCCAAATTTTTTTACTAGTTAGATTAAGTGGCTTGTATATATATATATATATATTTCTAAATTATTTTTAAAATGTAACTCTTTGTATCTACAGTTTTGAAATTCCTTTTTTATTTTTAGGAAACCCATTATCGTTAGTAAAATGTTACGATTTTTTCTCAAATTTTATAATAATATTTTAAAAGATATGAAATTTTAAATGGTGGTACTTTATTTGAAACAATTTTTAATTTTTCAACGGTTCTTCCCATAGATCTTTTTCCCAGCTTAACACTCATATAAGCAGTGATACAAGCCATTCACAAACAATAATTTCTTTAAGTAATTTATATAATTTACATTAAGATTATTAAGAGTACATTATTTAGAAAAGACACCAAATGTCATAACAAAGTCTATAAATTCTTAATTGCGTACAGAAGAATAGAATATGGTGGCGTGTAAAATGTACTGCACCTTTATTGTGTGGGTGACCTCGGTTTTATCTAACCGTAAATCCCGTCTCGTAAAAAGAATATATACTATCGTTACTCGCATAGTTCACTAAACATATCCGGAACAATTTTTTTCCTGCAGCTCTTCCCCAGGGAAACCGTACTCGGTTAGGGAGAGGAACGGTGTATATAGTTTTGTTCCCGTCGTCGTCGTAGGAGATGAATCGATGTGCTACGAGCCTACGACAGCCGTATTCTTGACCCACAAATCTTTCAGCGACTCTTCCATGGCGAGGCTGGTATCCCGAAATGTGTTTCCAATAAAATACGTAACTACAGCACTATCCCCTCGACTTCCTTGACGTTCGCTACCGTTCCGTAGGGTTATTTTTATTACTCTGAAAAACTATTCACGTCACAAAAGCCGTAATACCGTATACTATAGCTGATGCAGTGCCCGAACGATGTTAGTGTCTGCGAAGTTTTTTTTTAACGTTTAACATGAAAACTTATTTTTGCACACAAACTCCTGCAAACTGTATTATATATAAGACTTTTTTTTTTACAAATTCGTTTCCAATTTATTTCGTATATACAGGGTTACAAAAGAAAAGATATATATTATCTTATAAGGTATAATAATATTAAAACTTTTTAATTTTATTTGGTGCCATACAGAATGATATAATACAAGTTAAATTAAGTCTATTGATTTTAAAATGATGTTTATATTTTAGATTTTGAGTGGAGTGAAGAAGTTTATGGCTTTACAAAGATGTTTATTTTTTTTTCTGTGTCAACTTTTCTACCAGAGAACATGCTCCGACTTTTACGTCTAGAACTTTTTCTGAAAGGAAATTGGAGTGGGGAGGTATTTTAAGAAGGTCATTTTTCGAATTTTCTCAAGAGATTAGCATCCAATGTGAAAAACCAAAAAAAAAAACGGAGGATAAACTGGAAAATGTACAAAATATATTAGTAAAATATTACGATTTTTATTTTTGGGCAAATTTTGAGCAATTTCGCTCCAACATCTAATGATAGCAATTTTTCTAAAAGGAAATTTAACTAGAGAGGTACTTTAGAGAGATCGTTTTTGGATTTTCTCATCAAATATGAAAAACCGAAAAAAAAACGTAGGAAAATACAAGAAATGTAGGTATTAGTTAAAATATATAACGATTTTTTTTTCTACAAACTACTAGAGAACTTGCTCCGATTTTTACGTGTTCCTACTTTTCTAAAATGAAATTTGACTAGAAAGATATACATATCATTTTTTGATTTTCTCGGGAATTTTTCCAGCAAATGTGAAAAACAGAGAAAAACACGAGAACACCGGAAAAAACGTAGTAAAACCCATAAAATCGACACAACAATAAACAAATATTGTTAAAGAAAATATAAAAAGTATATTTAATTATTTTACTATAAAATTACACATATATTGTTGATAAAGCATCACTATTGACTGAGCTCCGCTCAGAATCGTTTTTTCGTAAGCATTAGTTTATCATTGCTTACAGATATACATTAAATAACCTTATATATCCTACCTTCTTAACTATCTATCTACAATAGTATCGCATCCATCAGCAATATCTATCAGGTTTTTTTTTTTATTGTTTCTGTGGAAAACTTTTCTACAAAGAAATCTGACTAGGATGGTCCTTTAAGGAAGTCATTTTTTGATTTTTCTAGGAGTTTCCCCAATAAATTGGAAAAACATGAGAGAACCGAAATAAACTTAGGTAAAACGGGAAAATAGGTACAATATTAAATAAATATTGTAAAAAAAAATGTTGAATGCTTATATAATTATTTTACAATAATATATGACATATATATTATTGTTGACAATGTAACATTATTAACCGAACTCCGCTCAGAATCGCTTTTCGTTAGCAATGGTTAATCGTTACATACAGAAATACATTAAATTTCCCATCTACTACCTTCTCAACTTCTCACCTATAAAAGTAGCTGTACCTGTCCTCATTATTATAGGACAGCTTTCTTTTTATGTTTCATTGTTGAAAACGAATATAAATATTCGAATCCTTTGATGACTGTATGAACGATTTTTGCACCAACTCAGTATGTGCAAAGACGTCAACCGATAACAATTATTCGATTAGAAAACTTTATTTTGTCCATAAACATAAGTACAGTAGCTAATATTGTGCATTTAAGTGCAACAATTAAATATGATAAAGGTTAGTTTTACGATATTATATTGAATTAAAATACAATTACTGAATGTATTAGCACTTTATACGTATATTCGTAATTCGTTGTAAAATGCAAGTATACATTGTCGGCGTAATATAAATTCCTGCTTCATAATTACTATAACTATTGAAAACCATTACACGTTATATTTTATAGTTTTATAAACGAATTCTGGATTTCGAGCTACAAATTATAACAAATTCTGCTCTATTATCTTGTATCTGTTATAAGTTTATTTTTGATCTTTGCAGGTGCTGGGAGAAGCTTACTCCAACACCATAAAATAAAAATACATTTTCAAGTGATTAAAATGTAACAAATTACAACAAATTATTTACTAATTCATGAAATAATAACCGAGTAAAAATATCAAAGTCGGGGTCAGAGTAATTGAGCTATATGATAACTTCATTATACTGAAATGATTTCGAGCATATTAATTTTTGACACCGAGATAATATAATTAAATCATACAAATATAATAATGATCAAATTAAAATTAAAATCACACGATTTTACAATAATTATAGCCATTGTTCAATACATATCATACCTGTTTGAAATGATTCTTGACAGTCAGATTGCGCGATGTCGAAAGTTTCTAATTGGGACATTCTCAATTATTTGACCGAGATTTGTAGATTTGCACTTCAGCCAAAGTTCTTCTAATGTATTCGAAACTATAGAGGGATAAAAAATAATTAACATTAGTTTGATGACAAATTATGTTGTTTAATTAATATTAATAATTTAATTATAACAACAATAACATCTGTATTAATTAAATAGTATAATTTCATAGCGTCGCAGTGAAATCATTTATACAAGCTTAGAAATATGAATAATAATATATAATACAGGTTATCGCGATTTAAAAATGTAGTTACACATTTTTTTTTTTAAATAATATGTTTTTATGCATTTATATGGGTTTAAAAATGCTTGAAAAGTTTTATAGTATGTGAAAGTTGAATACAAATAGTACTTTAGTTATGTCAAAACTGAAAACTATCAACGTACAAAATATAGTAACGGTTTAATAGAAAATTACGATAAACCATCATCGGTTCGATAAAGTTTCGGTCGATTTATTAATTTTCGAGTTTGAAGAAATTTCGTATAAACTACAGTTCAAAGGCCCAAAGTGTATAAAACTACATAAAAACTATTTGATTCTTCGTAGTTGCAGTGATTGTTCAACAAGAAATCTCAATTTTTTCAAATATTTCAGAAAATATTTGCTATTTTATACTAGAAAAAGCCTGCCGATTTTCAAATTCCTATAATGACGAATTTAAAAATTAACACATTTTAATTGAAAATTTGAATCAAACTTTATTATAAAAGTGCAAAAGTGTACACTTAAATAATATATTTGAATAAAAACTTTGAAAAACGAGAAATGATCTGTCTAATAGAAACAAAAAATACTGAAAATACATTTCTTCTTTTTAGATTCTAAGTGAAACAAGTAATTTATTAGTTAAAATAATGATCTCTCTAATGCACCAACTATCTAAAATACATTTAAAAATATGTATTTTCATTTTTTTGATTGGAGCAAGATTTTTGATGGAAAAGATGCTAACAAAAAAAAAAAAAATAAGCATATATTATGTTAAATTAATACATTCATCGCTTCGTTTAGTAACTAAAAGAATATTAATATTTTACGCAATATAATTTATAGTATTAAATACTTGATTTAATTTAATTTTTTTTTTCTTGATGAATGAATGTCTGCACAGTTTTATTATATACCTATACTGACAGAAATACGATTAAAAGCGATTATTAAATAACAACTCGCAGCGAAACGTTGACAATTATTTATATTGTACTGAACGATTTTTCTGCTGCTGCAGCTTCCAAACACTCGACCTTAATTGAAAATGTGATGGTATTCAAGTACGGTATATGCTTATAGACGGTATATTTTTATCATTTGGGAAAAATTTGATTTTTAAAAAAAATTTCTTTTTCGAACGCTATCAAATTGTATTAAAAAAATAAAAATAAAATTAATACGTCATAATATCATTTGAACGTTCATATCTACCAGGAAAAAATCGGTCATACAAATTTATACAAATAAAGTATTAAAATTTGACATGTTAAAAAAGATGATAACTCAGTTATATTATTAGATATTTCCATTATTTTTTTAGTTGGGTCTGGGAACATAATATCATAATGTCTTCAGCCCCACTGGATTATTGGATAGAAATATATATAGACTTACTAATTCTGAAAATGATAATGCAAATTACAAATAAAATATTTTTACAAAAATATTGATGAAAATCGATACTAATGTTATGGAAGGCGAGGGCGTTATGTATAATATGTTTTGCAAATTTTGTTTCGAATATATTTTTTAAAATGTAAAGCTACAAACATTTTAAAAAGGTCATTTTTTTGATTTTCCCAGGAGTTTTCCCACTAAATGAGAAAAACATGGTAAAAACTCGAAAAAAAAGGGAAAATACATACTATATTAAACAAATATTATTTAGGAAATATATAATGCATGTATGTAATTATTTTACTATAATGTGACACATATGTTTATTGTTGACAAGTAATACAATTAACCGAACTCCGTTTAGAATCGTTTTTCGTTAGCAATGGTTAATCGTTGCGTACAGATATACATTAAATTTCTCCTTTAGCTTTCCAACTTCTTACCTACAACAATGCCATGACCCACCCATGTGCGAAGTACATGTTTAAAAATGCAATTTATACCTAATGCAATAAAATGAAATATTCAAAGGTTGACTCAATGGTTAGATTAGGTTAGGTTAGGATCAGTCACCAAGGTGCCTAACGATTATGTTTATTAAGATATGTGTGTGATTCTTTTTTCTGTCTTAAAAATTTACAAGTTATATTAAAAACACTTTATGGAAAAAATAACCTGACTACAACATGGAGATTAAATGACATTACAAGAGATGCACTTAATTGGAAGTCAAAAGGTTAGAAACCACTGAGAAAGCCGGAGAAAAGATGGATAGATGAACTAAATAAGAATTTTCGAACACTTGAAATCGATAATCCAGAGGGAATAGCAATAATAATAGAGAGAAACAGAGGAAGCTGCTTTGAGCACTGATGAGCCTTATTGGCTTACACTGGAAAAAAAAAGAAAATAAGATATATTATAAATCGTGTAGTTTTGTGTTTTAAGACTAAATAAATATGTAGTCAATCAAAGATTTGTTAAATTGTTATGGAATATTAATTTTCGAAAATCTCGTCGTTTTCGTTAAGTTTATATTTAATATTTGAAAAACCTCCTTCCGAAATTTTTAAAATAGTCTATAAGGTACGTATTATATTTTCTTTTGTAAAAATTATCGGTTAGTTGGTTAGAAATTTAATACGTTTAACTTATCATTTCCGTTCATAGGCGAAGGTTCTAGCAAATATTAAGGGGGGGGGGCTAAAACCCCCCACACCTCCAAACAATTTTCCAACACACATATAACAGACTATATAACAGGAATACTGCATACTTACCTAATAATTTATAACTTATATAATTTATTTATTTAATTATAAATATAAATACTTAATATATTATTTATTATCAAAAACAAAGGTATAAAGAACATAATTTAATCAATATTCTAAAAATACCACCGTTTTTAATGTAAAATATTATTTTATCAGTAGACTCAATTTTACGATTCGGTCAGATACACGACATATTAGAAAGTATATAATAAGTTATTTATTCGAAATATACACATAGATTAATATTAGATTAAATTATAGTAGATTTTTTCTGAGATTATGTTTCAAAACATAAAATATTATTTAATAATCAGTAATCACTAGATATTTGTGTTGTAAAAATATGTTTTATTAAAAAAAGTGTAAAATTGTATTGTATACATATCATTATTATTCAAAATAGGTGTATATTATTTTAGGGGGCTTAAAAAAATATTTGAAGGGTTTAAGCCTCCTCAAAGCTCTTAAGCCCCCCGATATCCTCCTGTTTCCTTTATAAAATTAAAAATTACCTGCAAACGTTCTGTTATAATATTATACACTTACCGATAAATTCCAACTGAAGTATATCAGGCGTTTTCTCATCTCAAGAGTTTATTAGATAAAGGCAACACAAAAGTACGCACTGTTCTACTGCAGTAGATATACAGTGCAATTGCTGAGATGATGGACAATTTTGTACATAAAATAGTAACACAATATATAAATAATTCTATTAAATTATACACGTCAAATGTTAAAACTTTTTAAAATAATAGTTTAGCCGTTCCAAAATTTAATGTAGTTTTATAAATATTACCACTATGTATCACAAACTTAAAATTCGTTATAAAACAAAAAAAAAACTTAAAACCTACAATGTTGTGTGTATTTTATTATTGACTAAAAAGTGGAACCTACCTGTCGTGAATAATTCGGTATTTTAGAAGGTTGTTTATAATATAGGTAGATGCACGCAATAGTGTTTAAATTTTGTTTTCGAGTATTGGTCCGGTCGTATAAAATGTTTCCATAGATACCGTCACACGTAAAAGTTCAAACACCATACTACCACCACCACCACCACCACCACCACGACCGCCACTATCACGTGATGACAATATGAACGATATTATGTAAATTTTATTTTAACCTGTATAGGTACTAGACATACATATCTTAGTTTAATTGCCAGTATATACTATATATTTATATATGTATATATGTATATTATATATATATATATATATTTATATAATATCTTTGGTTTTAAGGAAGAATTGGTTTATTTTATTATATATTTATACCATCATTTTCCTTAATTTTCCATAACTCTATGATAATTCCGGCATCTTGAAGCGAGGTATGTATATTGGTTTTACAATGATATTTATTTTTTCTTTTTTCTGTGAACAACTTTTCTACCAGCAATTTTGCTCCGATTTTCAGTATCTTCAAGCATTATCATAGCACTTTTTCTGAAAGAAAATCTAACTGAGATGGTACTTTAAGAAGGTCAACTTTTGATTTTTTCAACTGGTTTTCAATGTAAAAAAAACGGAAAAATGTACAAAATGTATTGGTAAATATTACGACTTTTTTTTGATTGATTTTGTGATACTATCGTTTTTTTCATGCGAGATAAAAAAATGTACGCAAATATAATATATACAGGACTAGAATATTAATGCAATTTCGTAATTTGTTTTCTATCTATTTAATTTAATGTTTACTTAGAATTTCTTCACGTATAGGGTTTCGTATACTGAACGAAATGATACCATTTCCATTTGCATATAATTACATATTTTACGATTTTGTCAAATCCAGAAATTCAAAATCCAAAAACAAAATGCTATATAAATGTATTTTTTTGGATTTTGTGAATATATAAATGAATATTTCAGAATAATATTGTGACTTTAAATCATCCGTTATAATCATATTAATTTATGTATACTAATTTATTGCTTATATTAGCATTTATTCTAATGAAGTAATTTTTTTATTTTTCAAGCAGTTTTCATAATGATTGGGAAAAACCGCGAAAAAACCTATGAAAAATAGACAAATTTACGAAAATAATTTATTAT